ACGCGAATATTCAATGTATCTTTGTCCGCAATCGGGTTAATTCGGCGCACCGTTATCAACCATCGCCGCGTTTAATCTCGCTGCCGTCATAACTGCCTCCACTAGTAGATAGTGTGTCAAGGTGCGATCAGCGAGCGCACGGGGAACCTTCACGCGTGAATTTCATCATTATCGATATTTCTCGCGCGTTTGCATTTTTCCTCTTTCTTTTTTTACTTCACAGCGAGATCACTTTGAGGTACGATCTCGAATTGACACCGATCGTTGTTGGCTCCTGCTGCGTCCTCGTCGCGATCGCCGCCGATGCCTCCGTGGTTAACCTCGAGTTTAGCGGCGTGTGTCGCGACCTTTCGGCGAAGGAAGCGCGATGAAAAAAAGGCAGGGTTAACCGCCGCGACGGAATCGCCTCTAAGCGGCGGCGGCGGCGGCGGCGGCGGCGGCTCTTCGATGCGCTGACAACAACGACGACTACGTCGACGCCTCGTCGTTCTTTCGTTCTTTCCACGCGCGTTCCTCCCAGTAGTAACCCAAAAATAAACCCCCGGCTCGAGGGCCGTAGAGCGCGCGACACTGAGGACACGGGCACGTCAGGTCGAAGAGGTCGTTATTTCAATTAAATTGACCGACACACAGATTAGTGATATGAATTTCACCGCGGTCTAAATTTAATGCCAGCGCGGCGCGTCCTGTCGTGTCGCTGGGGCCCGCAGAGTGTCGCGGTTTACGGCGTTAAAAAAAAGGACAGTCGTATTTATGGCGCGACAATTTTTCAAGCCGGAATTAAACGATGAGCAAGAACGTCCGCGCGTAGCGCTCGCGCGCGCTACGTCGTTCCACCAGCCGACAGGCCCGAGACGTGTCGGATGATCGCGCGGCGGATTAATTTGAGCGGTGGTCAATGCCAATATCGCTCCGCTCGTATCGCCAAGTCTGGATATACTCGTCACGTGCCGAGATGCAACATAAAAAAAGCAGCAGACGGCACGACATATATCGGAGGAGAGACGAAAAAGGGGAAGAACGAAAAAGACCAACTGGACGAAGAATGTCAGGTCGAAGTGAGAATTTGCTGCGCGCGCTCGCGAACACTTAGCGATGATAAATTTTAGAGGGAGTGTGTGTGTGTGTGTATTTTGCGTGTACATGTGCGTCGCAGTTCGTTTGCAGTTCGTCAACAACAATTTCTCTCCGGGCTCACTGCGTCGTCGATATTTGCGCGACAGTTACTGAGATCGGCAAAATACGATAAGTGTTTCTTAATGAATAAACTTGCCGAGATAACGAGGAGAGTCACGGGAGCGCAAAGATTAAAGGCAGCCAGTCGTGTTGTCGACCGAATGTTTGCTTTATCAATAAAGTTGCACCCGATTTCCGCGTTGTAAACGAACGAACCTATTTTCGACGAGTAGAAACAACACTGCGGACGAGGACACGCCTCTGTGAGAATAATCCGCGTGTATTCGCCGCCATCACGATTGCTGTATCTCCCGAGCGTTAGCGATGTAATTGCGTGCACGCGGACAAACGGACGTCAGACAGAGAGAGAGAGAGAGAGAGAGAGAGAGAGAGAGAGAGAGAGAAGAGCAGAGAAGAAGAATCGCCCGCGACGCCTTGGCACGTTATAGTCTGAAGGGGCTCGCATATCGAAAGTATGTCGACGATAAAATACACTGACTAACATTTAATTATTCCTTCTCCTTTTTCCTTCGACTCCGTTGCAACTGGAGTAACACTCATTGATAACCGGTCGTTCAGCGTTTTTATCAGCGCTTCAACGGCGCTGAACGCCCGCACGCACTGCCGCGCGCGCGTTTGTGTCTGTCGCCGTTTCTTCGTCTTCATCCTCGTAATCGTCATTCTCGTCTCCTCGACGACACTCCCCTCCCCCCCCTCCCCCGCAGCTTTTGCTCATTCGCGCGTCACGCTTCCGTTGACTGTTTAACTCGCTTAACAGTGACGTCTCAAGCCCGAAGCTCGCGCGGTGAGAAGTATCATTGACAGCAAGCTCGCTCGGATTCCAACGTCCGTTCTTGCAAATTGCACCGCGCGAGGATAGGAGCAGCAGAGGGAGGGGAAAAGAAAGATGAAGGCAAAAAAAAAAAAGAAAACAGAAAAGAAAATAAAAGCACGACGGAACAGACGAGGAAAGGTGTGCTGTGTGTGTGTGTGTGTGTGTGTGTGTGTGTGCTGCAAGCGATGCGCGCACGCATCGGTTGTCACTCTCGAGATACGAGCGAAATGCGGCAGCATGCGATGCTGCTATTATGACAAAAACCTTCGTTGTTAGTAAGACAAGATAATTATTCCGCCGAGCTCGGGGCTCTTCGATCATTTAGGCGTGGCAACACATGTTCTCAGTTCAGCGCTATGTGCGGCATATATGCGGGGTATACCTATATGCGCAGCGTGTCAGGACACGTGGTGCGGAACCTCTCAGGCTTGCCAGCGGCTATTCATTTTCGCAACCTTCTCCTCCCCTCTCTCTCTCTCTCTCTCTCTCTCTGTGTGTGTGTGTGTGTGTGTGTGTGTGTCTCTGTCTCGCTCCGCGTGCGCGGGGGATTCTTCCCTACAAATTATTCGATACGCCTTGCGAGGCCGAAACGAGTGCCATGCGGAGTTAAACGCCTAACGACGCGTCTCACGCATCGTGATTTTAATGGCGAAAATCATTAGTAACGAGCTGCTCCCGTCCGTCCGCCCGCTCGCCCGGCTGCTACCGCCAACAGGTCCGCGATCCGAAATTAGCCAATCGTAATTTCTGCACAACGATAAACGCGTCGCGCGCGCGCGCGCGCGATTAACCAGCGCGAAGTCAGCACGCAATCGCGCGCTGACAATGTTACGCCTCAGCGCGATCATTACACGGTTAATAATAAGGAATGCATTTGTCGCGCGCACTACGTCTGTGCGCGCGCGCTACATGTATATGTCGCGTCTATCTGTGTATGTCGCCGCACACGAGGCCGTACGGGAGAACATAACATTTGTATGCATGTATACATTACTTTATACCTAAGCCTATGATCATTAAGTACATTTTACTTTGAAACGACATAGTTAAATTATACGCGTTTCGACATACAAGTCTGTATGAATGCAGAGGCGCGATCGCAAGATTGTATCACGTAAGATCAGACGAGCGGGAGAAATGGTAAAGCAATGGTATATCGCAAGTTTAACGAGCATCATTTCGTGTGTGTGTGTGTGTGTGTTGCGACCGCAACACGTGAAGGAGAGAGAATAATGAAGTATATCATCAGACGCTTCTTTTTCAAAGATCCGACGTTTTTAGCGCAGGCGACATGCACAAGTTACTTCGTAACTTTGCAACAATCATATTTCGGCCGCTAGGTGGAAACTTATTTTGTCGTCTTCAAAAGTGATCGGTGAGGAGTGTCCTCGTCGTCCTCTCTCTCTCTCTCTCTCTCTCTCTCTCTCTCTCTCTCTCTCTCTCTCTCTCTCTCTCTCTCTCTCGCGGGAGCATTCAGACAAGGACAAATACGTCTCGCGATGTATCTTAGGTGCTCCTCTGGTCCGATAGGACCAGTCGTCGATATAAGATCGAATGTTCGCAACGACCACGTTCGTTTTCATTAAATCTATCTTCCAGCTGGCGCGGCGCATAAATCTACATAGTTTCGACACGAATCCGGACGAGTGAAAAACCGCAATAAAGATCTATCTATACTCGGTTATTGTCAGCCTTCCTCCATGGATTCAACAAAACTGTTTTTCTGATTAATTAAGACTGATTAATAAAAACTTTTTTTCTGATTAATTAAAACTGATAAACAGGATATCCCTGTCCATATAATTTGTCAGAAATTAAAGCATCGCGAACGAGCGCTCGTTTTTCGCAGGGATTATTTTCACCTGAAAGAAAAGCGCTTTGTAATGCGAGCTGAACGAAAATAACAGCAATAGCAAGCAGCGGCTGAGACGACGGACTGTTGTAATCTCGTTTATTAATTATACTTTGAGACACGCGCGTTTGTCACATGACACAGACACATGAGCAAAAAAAAGTGCAATGTCCAGCGCGGAGCACCGATCGCATGTTTACATAACGCTTGATCATTCACTGATTTAATCGGCTGCTTTGCATTTGCATTTATGAAATTTATGCGACGCGTTACAACTATTACACAAAGACGCGAGACATGCTGATACGTAATGGAGTATAACATATAATTAGAGATACGTAAATTGCTCTTCTGTTCCTTTCTTTCCTCCCCTTTTTGTTGATCTCGCCGGAGCACCAACCGTTGCGAAACCATTGCAGAGCGATTATTCTAATTATCCGAATTTCATCGACGAAAATACAATACTCTTCTGTTATCTCTCGAATAATTATCGAAGCGAATCTTGCAAATCTCGCACGACCGCTACGAGGCGTTGGACAACGCAAAACTCTTCGGCGTCAGTCGCTAAGGCAAAATGAATCGGCTCGAAGCGCAAACGGGAAACGTTAATATTCACGATGCGTCGAAGCAACGCGCTCCGATTATTATTAGGATCGCCGACCGATATCAGTTCGCACATTCGCCCGCGTCGTCGCGCACGCTGAACGACCCCTTCGCCCATGTCAGCCGCGATCTTATCGAATCATCTTATTGCACACGTCAATCACACACTTTCCTCGGTATCTCGCCGCGAGTAGAGAGCATCGCCATGATAAACTCCACGTTTTCATCCACACATCCACTTGCGAATATGTCGCTAGTTCTCGCTCGTGCTAGTCGCACGTTTCTTCCACTGGGTGTCGGAGCACACCGATCACCACAAGCTGACGATAGTAGAATCGCGTGCGCGCGCGCGCGCCGAGCATTAGTGTAAGAGAGAGAGAGAGATAGATAGTTAGATTGATAGAGAGAGAGAGAGAGGGGGGAGAGGGAGAGAGAGAGAGAGAGAGAGAGAGCGAGCTCAATTCCGCAGACAGCCGCGCGGACGTGGACTCGCGGAAGTGGACGCGTAGGTTCACGTTTCTCACGAACGCTCACCTGTAGATTTGGCGATCCTCGGAAAGAGAACTGTGACATGATGTGTCGGCCGCTCAGGGCCGTGTTGGTCGGGCACCGCTACGCGATCATCTTTCCAGCCCGCGGCATCCGCGGCCAGGTCGCGTGCGCTTCCGGTGCGCACCTTGGTCGGTCACCTCGCGACGGGGATTATCTGTCACACTTCCGCTGAGAATATTTTATTTTCCCGTTTTGCTTTTCACTAGCGCGCGCTTAACGCGCTTATGACGTGCGGGGGCGCGGGGGTGCGAGGAGCCTCTGTCTGTCGCGTGTAGTGGCTGCGCCACCCCCGGGGGGTGCTACTCGCACCGACACTCCCGCGTGCTCCGTCGTCGCGGCTCGGTGCCCGACTGCGCTCGATCCTGCGATCTTACGAAGCGGTCCGCTGCCGGCATATGCACTCGCACTGTCACACGCGACGCTGGCAAGTCGTGTTAACACGGGAACGAGGCCGGACAGTTCTCGATAGGTTGGCGGTAGGCAGCGGCAGTCTTCCACGGGATCGATCGCGATTTATTATCGCAGCCGACGTTGTCGTCGTCGTCGTCGTCGTCGTCGTCGTCGACGTCGTCGTCGTCGTCGTCGTCGTCGTTGCAATCGTCGTTGTCGACGTCGACGTCGACGTCGTCGTCGTCGTCGTCGTCGTCGTCGTCGCCGCCGTCGCGGCCGGCGGTGTAATATTCCACAGGGAGGTTGAACTGTCAGCCGACAGTCGTCAACAGTCCGCACGCACTGTGTTCACACTCGCGCTCTGCTTGTTTGTAAGGGGAGGCGCGGCGGTGGGTCTGTCCTCCCACGGACAGAGAGAGAGAGAGCGAGCCGCCGCCGGCACACTGTCGGGGTGTCGCGAGTCGCGGCACCGACGTCGCGGAAAAAAGTCGCGCGTCGCGCGGCACGGACACGCGCAGCGCGCGATGCGTGGTGAACGTATGTACGTTGCTACACGTACGTACGTACGTGTGTCCTACACGCGTACGCGTACGTGTCGGCGTACGTACGCGCGCGATGCGGTTAATCGCGGCGGCTAGTTCACTCAGTTGATCCGATCACCGCGCCAGCTATGATCGGTCGCGACTATCCTCCGAATCGTCGTTTCTTTTCGACGGAATCCAGTCCTTCGCTCGGCGGATAGGAAGGCGGAGGTGCACGGCTGTGGGCGCGAGCGAGACGGCTGCGGTGAGAGGGAACGAGTCGGGTAGACAGGATAGAGGGAGGAGGGAGTGAGAGAGAGCGCGCGAACACTAGAGGGACGGCAGGACAGGCTAAGCAAGGGAGGAAGGGGGGTGTCAGGGGGAGAGAGAGAGAGAGAGAGAGAGAGAGAGAGAGAGAGAGAGAGAGAGAGAGAGAGAGAGGTAGCAGCGAGTGAGGGTGTCGGAGGGACACCACTGAAAAAGGAGAGGAACGATGGAGGAGAACGGAGGAAGAGTGAGAGAATGGTGAGAGAGAAGGAGAAGAGTGAACGGGAGAGAGAGAGAGAGAGAGAGAGAGACGAGGGAGGGGGAGAGAGAGAGAGAGAGAGAGAGAGGGAGAGAGAGAGAGAGTGTGTGTGTGTGTGTGTGTGTGTGTGTGTCTGTGAGGGAGGATGGTGAGGACGACGTGAATCGCGCACACTGGCTGTCTCTCTTTTTATCCTTCGCGGTCCTTCCACGCAGCCGGTCGCCTGGCGGCCTGCGCAATCACGCGCTTCGAACTCGCGAAAGAGAGGCAAGTGCGTCTTCTTCCTCCTCTTCAACTCGTCCGCCGCCACTGTCGCTGCTGAAGACCGGTCGCCGATTGCGGCTCTTCGTGGCGCTACCAATCGCGCGCTCGGCGAAAGCGCCAAGTACGAACTGACGCGGTTTGTAGGCCCTTGTGTTCCAACACAAGACAATGATCAGGAACAGACACCGTTGTTCCTGCTTTGTCTTATCGTCTCCTTATCTATCCGTCCCTTTTTCTCTCTCTCTCTCTCTCTCTCTCTCTCTCTCTCTCTCTTTCTTCCTCCCTCTCTCTCTCTCTCTCTCTTTCTCTCTGTGTGTTTCTCTCTCTGTCTCTTCCTTTCTCCTCCTCTCACACCTTTTCCGTAAAGTTTCTTCCTTTTTCGTGCGATGCCCAACGTAAAAATCCAATTCAACGTTTAACCATTACCGCGATATGCACTACCGAGATTGTCACTGACGAGATTGATTCTGATTCGAAACAAGTTACACCGAGCTCCTCAAATGATAAAACTGCTGATCGGCACGTATCCTCGCTTCGCGGAAGAACGACGTGGCCGCCGCAGTTTGTAAGTTTCCGTCGTATCCACAAGTTCCGCGAGATGACGGTTGATCGCGATGTCGTAGGAGGAGGCGACTCGTACGTACAGTGCCGGTGGCGCTGGCGGTGACGATAGTATCGCGCTAGTGGTGGTGGCCCGATGACGAGCGAAACTCTCGACTCGCCGCTGATGGTGGTGGTGGTGGTGGTGGTGGCAGTGGCAGAGTCGTCGCCGTGGTTCTTTTCCTTCCACGGAAAGGGGGACGATTTTTGCGAGATGGTTTGCCCTCGGCGAGACGGGTGGGAGGGTCCAGGTCGACACGGCGTGTGCTCTGGTGGGGGTGCGGGCACCACCTCTGCCGCTGATGCCGCTCCGCCGCCACCTCGTCGTACCCGCGCAAATTCGTACCGCGGGCTCGTATTAGCAGGCCGAGTGTTGTGCGTGGCTCTCGTCTCTTTCCGCTCGGGTCGTCGGCATCCTCCCTCGTCGATCGAGCACGGAGCCGGCGGTTAGCGTCGGCAAACGCGACAATAAAATATGGTGAGTCGCCCGTGGGGCTCGGCTAACGCGCTCCCTGCTTTCCTCCCCTCCTCACTCTCGTTGAGTCGCTCTTCCGTCCTTTTCCCCCCTTTTCTCTTTCGGTTTTTGCATCTCGCTCGTATCCCCGATAGTCCGATCGCGCGTTCTCGCTCCCTCGCACACCCGTCTCGTTCCTCGTGACGCCCCACCGTAGGCGCTTTCTTCCCTCTTCGTTCTCGGCTTTCGTTTCGTGGAGGGGATGGGTTGAATGAGACGGAGGGGGGGACGCGACCGGCCGAGATGCTGCCACGCTCGGGTATGGTGGGGCGAGAAGAGTGAGCGGTTGGTAGCGTTCGGAAGGGGCAAGCGAAAGGGGGGAAGGGGGAGGGGTGGGAGGCACGAAGGCAGAAACTACACGACAATTTTAGTTCGATAGATCCCGAAGTTTAGCCTCGGCGGCGCTGCTTTACTTGCCGCTGACTTCTTCCCGGTAGTTTGTTCGTTGCCCTCTCCCCCGCCGTTGCTGACTGCCTCTCCACCCTCCTCCACCTCCTCTTCCTCCTCTTCAACGGACACGACCGCACACCCCGACGTGTCCCCACCATCGAGTTCCTGCGTCTCGTCTTTCTTTCTCTTTCTCACTCCTCCTCCTCCTCCTCCTCCACCTCTTCCACCTTCTCCTCCTCCTCCTCCAAGCCAGGACAAGATCGCCGACTACTTCGTGCCCCTTCCTGTGCCCGGCATCAGTTTCGATGCCGCGCTACCTGCCGCTCCTTATTCCACGCACTACGCGACACTTGACTACAACACCAACTTCCGTCCCTCTCTTTCTCTCCTTCCCTCCCTCTCCCTCTCTCTCTCTCTCTCTCTCTCTCTCTCTCTCTCTCTCTCTCTCTCGTTTTCACGTCCGTGTCTCTCTTCTCTTCTCTACCTTCGTACATCAACCTCTCCCGTTCTCACTCGGGTACTGTTCATAGTCTCGTTCCCACCTGCGACCTCGTCGGTCTCGCTCGCGCGTTTACACCGCGAAATGCACGATCGTCACTCGGCAAGCGTATTACACGGACGCGTTTACGCGAAGTACTACGCTCGTTCCGACAGTTTAACGCAACAATGTCGCAGCAACGTCCCATCGCGCGCTGCAGACGTCAATCATCTCGTCAGATTGCCGTACTGAGATTCCGTAACGTAGTATCGCTATTCCTCCGCGGTACGAGAACCAAATTCGGCTGAAGCGGACCAACGCTGTATTTGCGTGGGACACTCAATATTGGCATGAAACCCAACATTGCGGACGGATGATCCATCTTTTTTTTAACGACACGCCACGACGGTCGTACAGTTGAAAACTAAATCCAAGTCCAATCGGATGCGATCCGCCAACGTTCATCAGCGCTGTCGCGACGAAGTTCAACGTGCGGCAATCGTGTCGATGACAAGGACTTTGGCCAAGGGATTGTGTGAGGTGTTTTGCTCAGTTCTTTCCAAGATACTCGCTTCCTCGCGCGTACTTGTCGCCCTCCTGGCGCGACCAACGACGAAAGGGGCGGATAGAGGCGGTTGGAGGTGGCGGGTCACGGGTGCGGAAGTATATCCGTCGTTCAGGTTGTGGTGGGGAATCTTTTCGGAGCGAGGGGGTTCGCGGGATGAGGGAGAAGGACGCATCAATATTTTTCGCCGACCGATCGACGACATGCACAGTTGCGCGCACGCATGTACGTACTGCTCGCGTACACACACATACCATATCAGCAATGATATTTTTGCAGAGGACATGCACACACCTATACCACGCACACAGAGGCACCGCGAGTGCACCCCGTGCATACACGCGTGCGTCGGTGGTATTGGTGACAACGGGTGTGGGGTGCAGGGGATAGCGCAAAGAGGAGCCGGATAAATCGTCCCCTTCCACACTTCTTTCATCTCCCCTCCAGCGCGTCACAGTGGGTGGTGGAGCTCGGCTTTTTTCCCCTCCGTGGGCGCGGACTAACCTCGCCCCGCCTTCGTCTCCTTCGTTCTCGTCCCCTCTACCCCAGGATAGTTGTAGCACGGCGAGAGTGACTACCACTGTGAAACTCGTGACGCCGTTGCCTCTCTCGTCACCCTGCGACGTGCATGGCACGCCAAACTACTACTTCGCACTCTCGCTCGCCACAGCCATAGCGACGAAGGAACTCGTCGAGGAAGCGAGACCGCCGACCGGGACGGCATGACCAGGGACGAGCGAGACGAAGTAGAAGAGAGGGAGGGAGAGAGAGAGAGAGAGAGAGAGAGAGAGAGGGAGAGAGAGAGAGAGAGAGAGAGAGTGTGAGAGAGAGAGAGAGAGAGAGAGAGTGAGAGAGAGTGAGTAGGGAGATAAGGGAGGAAGGGGATACACACCGAGATGTGAAACATTAGTGTACCGTTTGTTAACACCGCGGTCTACACACAATCGCGCGCAAACTCTCCCCCCTCTTCGAGTTCGCCGCGTCAGCCCGTGCGTCCGGCCCTCGCCCCCTCGTACCGCGCTTTCTTTAAGAGGGCGTTGCTGCTGTACGTGCACGGGTGAGCGCGTGTGAGCGCCTTCCTTCGTGAGTGCATCGCGGAATACCGGCACGTAGGAACGGACGTCTCTCCCCGTCGTCCTCTTCTCGCGACGCTGCCGTTCTCTCCTCTCACCTCTCTCCTCCGTCCGTCGCTCCTTCTTTCGCGTTTCAACTCCACCTTACCTCCGTCCTACTCCGCCGTTCGTCCCTGGCGCCGACTTTCCGCGAATGCGACGCTGAATTTGTCGACGTGCACAGAGACGTAGCGTCGACGTAGCCGCTTTAAACAACAACTCGGGAACTAAGCTGACTGACGACCCATATGTTACGCATCGATGTTGGAATTGTAGTGCGTGCGTGTATCATACCGAGGATTCATCCACTTCGGCTGGACTTTGCCTCGGGTTTTCATGGTGACGACGGAGGATCGTGAAGGATGTAACTGAAACGATAACCATCCAGTAGTGGTCAGCCACCATCGGGGTATTGGCGTTGAATCGAGCGATCGCGATATAGACTTCGTTGTGGAATCGTCGCTCCTGTGGCCACGATAGGGAGCGAACTAGAGTGATACAGAAGGACGCGCCATCCATGTGTATCGTGTTTGCGCCGCGACCGTTTTGTGAGCAGTATGAGTTATGGACTGGATTATGGGACTATGTGTGTTTGTACGATTCGCGACCGCAGTAGTCTCCGCTCGATTCACGATCTTTTCCACCTCCACGATCTCGGAAGTTGCAAAATACCTTGACACAAGGGATTTCCGTTCTTGATAGGTGATTGTAGGTTAATCCCGCCGTGGATTAGTGTATCTCCGTTCATTACTGTGATGTCTACTCTGAGCCTTCGTCGACGATTTTACGTAGAAATTTGTATCTACTCGAATTTTCGGTGTGTTTTCAGCTGGACTTTTGACTGTAACCAAAGATACTGATAATTTAGCTAGACGTTCATTCACCGCAATGTCTCTCGTTCAACGTGATGTCTCTTGTTGGAATAGAACATTAATTCTCGCACATTGCAGACAGAGTGGCTTGATGAGAACGGTACGTTCGGAAAACACGTTAATTGAACCGCCAAAGGCTCGTAAATGCAGGACTCGCGCAATACAGACATTAAGCGGTACATCTGACAATTCGGCAGCGCGCGCACGCAAAAAATGTCGACGCG